GTCAGTTATCAAATTAATTGCTTATGACACAGCATGGAATAAGGTCCAATATAGCTCAAACCAAAATTTTAAGATTTCCATTTATTTACCAGATTTACATGCTACCCCCAACCAAACACTCTGGCCAGCTTGCAAAAAAATACAATATCAAAACTGCAACCAGACCCATAAATTATTAGTTTTAATTATTAAACATCTCCAGCAAAAGACAAATTATGGGTTTTAATTGTTTTATTTAACTTTTAATCACATAAAAGTGCATATTTGGAGGGTTAGCAGAGGATTGGAATATTATTAATGATGTTCAAAGGCTAAACAGGTTTTCAAAATGTAATGCCATTCAAGACATTCAGACTATGGTCTCTTGATAACAAAGCAGTCCTCCCAAGTTCTGGTTAAATTTGTGCTTTCTTGATATACAATACTTCAGTAGAAGAGACTTTGTCATGTCAGGGCAAATAAAAAAGTTAAAAACAGTATTGAAAGTAAAGTCATATTTTGAATTGGGCCTGACTCCTGGTAACTTACAAAAACACATGCAGTTTTCCTGGTGTGATGTGGAAATGATTTGCTACTGCTGTTTTCCAGATTTTTGTTTTAATTCCCAACTTTAAAATATTAGTTAAGAAGCTTGATTATTACCTGGAACAAATAAAATATTTCCAGGTTCTATCTTCAATTTGCAATGGGATTTTTACTAGTACTAGGTACTAGGTATTTTTACTAGTACTAGGTACTTTTTCTGTACCCTGTTGCAAAGTCACACTTTGGAATGCTTACAAAGGCCTACAGAAGTGAATGAATGGAAAGTAACTGTAACTAAAGTCTCACTGATTTCAAATATTGTTCTCCAAGTGCAGCTAAATCTTAATCTACCCTGTCAAACCCAAGCAAGAGATGCATATACAAAGCCACTTAATCTTCAAAAGTGGTTCTGATTTATCAAATGCTTAATTATTCTCCTAAAGTGAAACAGCATAGAGTTTGTGGGGGGAAACTACAGCATTAGAACCATTAAGCCATTTATTTCCATTAGAAGCTGAATACATTACAGTATGTTTGTCAATGAAAGCACAAAAGGCCTTTTTTGAACCGAATGAAATCTACCAGCTTTATTTCAAGGCTATGCTGCAGAATACTTCTGTAGTAGAATCCAGTGAAAACTCTGACTGAGTAGACAGAATCTAAATTCAACTCTCCACCGGAACCTACGTGTTTACGATAAATAATAGTTCCTACCCTGCAACTGCTGCAGTGCCAAGTGAAGAAAGACATTAGCATCTATCTTGCAGAGAATATGAAAACATCAGGAAATCTGGTAATTGCAAGATATTTATGAAGAACAGCCTACACATACTGTAGTTATAAATAAAGAGGAGAAGGCTACACAGCTCTAGGAAAAGAAATCTACACACTGGGCATGGATATAGCTACAACAGAGATGAGTTACCGTCCTTCCCACTTTATATAAATAGTAAGTTACAATAGGCCCCATCGTACTTTCCCCAGAATGTGATCCTAACCGAAACTGATCACCAGGATCCCGAGAAGCGCTGCGCCACCTCAGACCCTCCAGGGTCCACCGCCTCTTCTTCCATAGCGCCAACCCGACGCGCTGGGCAGCCCACACGCAGGGCCACGAGGAAGGGGAAGGCAGCGAAGGAACGGGCGGCGGGCGAAGCGACAGCGAGAAGGCACGAGCCGCAACCCCTGAAGGCATCTCCCGCGTACCTTTAACCCCTTCCTCCTACAGCGGAGGTGAGGGACGGGAGAGCCTGTCAGCCTCGCGTCCTCCACCTGTCGGCGGCCAATAAGCGCCGCTGCCGCGGTCGCCCCCTCAGAGCAGTCCGAGCTCCACCCCCCCGGCCCGAGGCTGGCCGTCCCGCTA